AGAAGCAAAAATCTGATTTGTACCGTGCTATATGAGAATAGTTCTTCGAGGATTTACAGATCTTCAAATGAAAGAGACGGCTGCATTCTCCGCACTGCGTATACGGAGGAATTGCTTGTGAAAAATGGAGGCGCGGCCCGGGCGACGCCGATCGACGGGCAACAAAGTTTGAGAAGGGTTTAGGTGATACGGGGATGATTTTCAGATTACTTTCTTCGGCTCACTAAACCGGTTTGTTGTAGACCATGGGGCGGTACAGCTTAAAATCCAATTAAAATTGAAAATATGGTCGGGTCCCACCAGTCTAATAAAAGTCAATAATAACGACTAGTTTTTCAATTTTAATCCAATTTTAATCTCTACCGAACACGCTCCATATCATTTTTTTGTTTATAATATTTTTATTTTTATAATTTTATTATACAGCTATTTCTTTCCACCACATTCACGTCAGATCACGGTTTTTCTTTAAATCCTGCTACATATAAAAGAGCCAGTTTTTACTGTTCATGCCACGTCGTTGTCAACCAATACGGCGTCGTTTGTCCTAGGATAAATTGCCCTAATTGCTCTCATTGTAGGCAAAAAACCCTCCACCTCGGGATCTTTCTTCCAACCCTCGGCCCTCGTTTTCTTCTTCCTCTGGATGGTCCACAAGATTCACTTCTTCTCGTTGAGTCCATCCTTCAGCTCGTACTCCGCCACCGCCTCCGTCGCCGACGCCTGAAAGGTATGTTCTTTATGCCTTAAATTGCATATCTCCTTGCGAGACGAAGAGTGGAGACACGAAATACTATTCATTTATGCTTTGATAAGAGTCATCAATTTCATTCCTTGATTCTATAGTCCAAAATTTTATCACCTTCTCCACGATGATTTCCGGAGCTTCTTCATGGCCATTCGCGATCTTCTGCAACATATTGAAATCGTTACCTCAACTCTTAAGAAATAAAATACCATATATCTATTAAACCGAAGGACCAACTTACTTCAATCATGTTTTGCCAACTAATTTTGGACACTCATTTTATTCCAGGTAGGTGTTATTCTTTTCTATCCCTTTGCAAAATCTATTGATGTAGGGATTTTTTCCCTGGGTATAGATATATTTGCTTCCCCTGTTTCTTTTATTTTTCTTTTTGCAGTTTCATTGAGTGTGCTTTTTCAGCTTGGATTCTTCCCTTTTATTTTT